CCCAGTTCCTCGTGGAACTTCTGCCAGAAACGGGAGGTAAACCTAACATCTCGGTCGGAGACAATAGAAACCGGAACCCCATGGCGAGACACGATCTCGCAGACGTACATGCCGGCCAACCTCTCGGCCGTCGAACTCTCCCGAATAGCCAAAAAATGGGTACTCTTGGTCAATCGATCTACGATGAGCCATATAGCATCAAATCCCTTCGCCGTCCTCGGTAACTTGGTGATGAAGTCCATCGTGATCTGTTCCCATTTGCACATGGGAATCTCTAGAGGCTGTAGCATACCATGCGGCCTCTGGTGCTCGGCCTTGACCATCCTGCAGGTCAAACACCTCTCGACATACCAAGCGATTTCTTGTTTCATACATGGCGACCAATAACTCAAACTCAGGTCTCGGTACATCTTGGTGGCCCCCGGGTGAATAGAGAAGTGAGACTTATGAGCCTCCTCCATGACTGTCTGTCTGACCCCACCAGATATCGGAACCCACACCCGACCGTATCGGGTAAATAATTCCCGGCTATCCTGCACAAACCGGGTGTTCTCACCCTTGATCCTCTCCAACTTCCAGTTCTCCGGTCGCATGCCCTCAACCTGAGCATCCCTAATCAAGCTCTTAAGTGGAGAATTCACCACTATCCTCATACACACTACTGGGGTGGAAGACCCAGCTGCCTTGTGGCTCATAGCATCCGTCACCACGTTCGCTTTGCCAGGGTGGTAAAGGATCTCGCAGTCGTAGTCCTTGACTACATCCAGCCACCTGCGCTGCCTCATGTTCTGGTTTGGCTGATCCATGGTGTATCTCAAACTCTTGTGATCCATATGTATGGTAAAACGAGCCCCATATAAGTTATGTCTCCATATTTTGAGAGCGAACACCACCGCTCCCAGCTCCAGATCATGAGTAGGGTATCTCGTCTCATGCGGCTTCAGCTGTCGCGACGCGTAGGCTATCACCCGTCCTCTCTGCATGAGGACCGCCCCTAAACCTGTGATGGATACATCACAGAACACCACAAAATCCTCCACTCCCTCCGGGAGTGTCAAGACCGGAGCCTCGCACAAACACTGACGGAGAGTCTCAAACGCCCTCTGCTGCTCCGGTCCCCACCGGAAATCCACTCCCTTCCTCATCAGACGAGTGAGGGGTACTGCAATCTTAGAGAAATCCCGAATAAACCTCCGATAGTATCCTGCTAAACCCAGAAAGCTCCTGATGTCCGAAGGAGACCTCGGCACCTCCCACTGCATGACTGCCTCGATTTTGGTCGGGTCGACCAAAATCCCCTCCTGGTTAACGAGATGTCTGAGGAACTGGACCTCTCGCAACCAAAACTCACACTTCGAGAACTTGACATACAGCCGTTCTCGTCTCAGAACTTCCAACAACTCCCTGAGGTACTCCTCGTGCTGCTCACGGGTCTTGGAATACACCAAGATATCATCTATGAACACAATGACCGAGCGATCAAGCAACGGTCTACAGACCCGATTCATCAGTTCTATGAATACTGCCGGCGCCTTGGTGAGCCCAAATGGCATCACCACGAACTCATAATGACCATAACGAGTTCGAAATGCGGTCTTCTCCACGTCCTCCTCTCTGACCCAGTCCTGATGATATCCCGACCTCAAATCAATCTTGGAGAACCAAGATGCGCCCTGAAACTGATCAAATAGATCATCTATCCTAGGGAGTGGATAAACGGTTCTTCACCGTCAACTTGTTCAGCTCCTTATAATCGATGCACATCCGGTGCGAACCGTCATTCTTCTTGACGAAGAGGATCGGCGCTCCTCATGGAGAACTGCTAGGTTGAATGAACTGCTTGCCCAGCAGTTCCTGCAGCTGTGAAGACAGCTCCTGCATCTCGGGTGGCGCCAACCGGTACGCCGCCTTGGCGATAGGAGCCGTACCTGGTACCAGGTCGATCCGAAACTCGACCTGCCTCTCCGGAGGTATCCCTGGCAACTCCTCCGGGAACACGTCGACAAACTCCCTAACCACAGGAACCTCTGAAACTGAAATCTGATCACTGACTCGCGTATCCACCACATACGCTAGATAACCCGCACACCCGTGCTGAATACACTGCCGAGCTCTGGCAGCTGAACAAAACCCTGATCCCACTCTGGTGCCCTCACCATATACAACCAGTTCTCCCCCACTTGGGGTTCGAACTACCACTCGCTGGCCCTCACAGTCAATCATAGCATCGAACCGACTGAGCCAATCCATGCCTACAATCACACATACCTCCCCCATGGGGATCAGAATCAAATCTATCGGAAAGGACACCCCGAAAATCTCCAACTCACACCCTCGGTAGACCGAAGAAGCAGAAATCCCGTGTTCGTTGGCGATAGAGACTCGCAACGGACACTCTAACTCGCCCACCGACACACTGAACTCCCTACTAAACGACTGAGATACGAAGGACCGACTCGCTCCCGAGTCAAATACAACCAAAGCAGGAAAAGAGTTCACTAAAAATGTACCTAATCACAGGCACAACAGATAAGCATAATACAATTATAATAAATGAAATAAAGGAGAGAAATATACTAGTAACCACATCTGGTGCTGCCCTGGCCTCCTCTGCGGTCAATTGGAAAGCACCCCCTAAGCCTTCGGAGGCTCTGTCTTGACTGGCCTCCCATCCGGTATCCTCAATGTAGCCGGTGCTGGAGCCTGTGCCGCCTGGCTGCGAGCTGTGGACAGTTGGTCTTCATGTGACCAACCTGATGACAGTGATATCATATCCTCATATCCGATGCAGGGGCTGTCTGGCGACAGTCCCTAGCATAGTGCCCTTCCTTGCCACACTTGTGGCACCCACTACCCGTCCAACAAACTCCGGAATGACTCTTGCATCACTTTTCACAAGTGCGGCTCTGCTGACCCCCGGTCCTAAAATCAGCGGTCTTAGACCGCTTAGGCACCGGCTGCGACTGCGTCGGGGCCTGCCGCTGCTCCCTCATCTGCAGCTCAATCTCCAACTCACGCCGCCTCACGGCCTCCTGCAACTCCAAAAGAGTATCACATCGATGGGTAGAAACAAACTGACGGATGTCAGTCTTGAGCATGCTCAGATAACGGGTTATCTGAGCTTGCTCAGAAGCAAACTCTGGGCAGAACATCGCCCTCTCTGTGAATATGCGGGTTATCTCCGTCACCGACTCCCCCTCCTGTCTCAAACTCAAAAACTCCTGTGACAACAGTTCCCGCTCGACCCGCAGAATGTATCGGGCGCGGAACATTTCCCTGAACTGCTCCCAAGTAACAGCAGCTCTCTAATCATCAGTGTACGACCCAGTCGCCAATCTCCACCAGTCCTTGGCCCCAGACCTTAGCAGGTTCAGAGCACACCTAACCCTTTGGTCAGTAGGACACAAGCAGGTAAAGAAACACCCCTTGCAATGGAGGTTTTGCACTTAAGAAGAGTCTCATCTTTGCAAGAGTTGGATGCTTTATGGACTTAAAGACCCAAGAGTGTTCAGATCTGAAGATACAACTTCAGATCTTAGCTTATACACAAGCAAAGCTTCCAAACATACTAGGAAAGCCCAAAAATCCACCCAAAAGAGACCTAGAATGAAATGAGCCAAGGTAACAGCCTAATACCTTCAAAAGGGTGCCAACTGGAGTAGATCTCTGCTTCCCACGTGTTTCCTTGCTTCAATTTACTTGTTTCCCAAGTGTTTCTTCACCAAGATTCCTCTTCTAAGCTTAACACACTAAAGAAACACACACATACGAATTAGGGTTTAAGGGGGTGTCAAGAAGCTGTAAAGGGGAGGCTGGGGGAGGCCAATGATCCTTTAAATAGGGTGCAATACCCCGAAATTTAGGGTTTCATCTGCCAGCCTACTCGTTGAGTCCCCTCTAGGACTCGGTGAGTAGGTCACTAAACCACGCGGACCAACTCGCTGCTACTCGACGAGTAGGGCAACCAACTCGTCGAGTAGATCTTGAAAACAAGAAAATTCTCATAAAATCAATACTTGAGAATCGGGGCGTTACACTACCTTTTCATCCGATGGAATACCGGTGTAACCATTTGCAAATACCCATCCGCCTCACTCGTTGCCATTCTTTGTCTAAAAAGCTCATTTTCTGAACCTGGGTTCTCTTACCTCACTAATTACATTTTTGACTACCATAATGCGAATGTAGCATTTCTTGGAATTTAAAGCATCTATATATATATATATATATATATATATATATATATATATATATATATATATATATATATATATAGTCAAGATCAAATAAGAAGGAAATTTTTGGTAGGAAGGTAAGAAGTTTTTTTTCTACATGTTTTTTTGGTGAACAAACAAAATGAATCATTAGATGATTCAATTGTAAGATGATTCACAAGAAAAAATTCTTAAAAAAACATCTTGATGATTCATTTATACAATGATTTTGTTGTTATTCACTAAAATTGTCATAAAAATTAATTTTTTCATCATTTACTTAAAAATGAATCATAAAGATGTTTTTTTGGGGAATTTTTTCTTGTGAATCATCTTACAAATGAATCATCTAGTGATTCATTTATTTGTTCGTCAAAAAAATATGTAGAAAAAAACCTTCTTACCTTCTTACCAAAAAAAATTTCTTACCGGATCTATATATATATATATATATATATATATATATATATATATATATATATATATATATATATATATATATATATATATATATGGGGATAGTTCAAATAAAATCTGTAAATAATGTGAAAATATAAAAACACTATTTTTATGTTATTATTCTGCAATGAATTTTGTATGCACAACTTTATGTCATTATTCAGCAATGAATAAATGAAAACTCAAGAGGTTAAAACTAAAATTAGAATTTACTACAAAAATACACATACATAAATTGATAATAGAATAATAACATTTAATGAATATATGAATAATCAAACGTTAATATTTATATTAGAATTACTTCATCAATACAAATATACAACATTCATTGCAAAATAATAACATAAACATAATGTTTTTTACGTTTTCACACTATTTACTGTTTTTATTTGAACTTACTTCTATATATATAATACCATATCACCTTACTCGATTCATAGTTTTTCCATCAGCGTTTTAGCATGAGAAGCCGCAGGGGATTGAATGTATCAAGGATATTGTTTCAATGCACACATGTATATAACTATATGCTTCATACTGTATTAGTGTCACAACAAGATATTCAAAATCTTTAAATGAAATATAAGCATCTCATTATAGAAGTAGTATTAAGAACTTAACTAGTATACCGATGCTTACGCAAGTACACGTCAACATTTTTCAGAATTTTTGACTATCGGGATACAGGTCGTGCGACCTGAAAGCTGTTGGTTCAATAGAAATCTCTGTTTGATCAGAATCATGGGGCTTCATCTCGTGAAACTTTGGTCCAATTTCTTTTAACATCAATTCCTCCTCAGACATAATTACATTCATGTTTGGTTCTTTTATTTTAGTACGACCCTCAAGCATATTAACCACTTCTGACATGGTAGGCCTAAGAGCCGGGGCCTTATTAGTGCATAATAGAGCAATTTTGATCATCCGCACTGCCTCCTTTTTGTTGAAATCAGAGCCCAATCTTGGATCCACCAAGTCTATCAATCTCCCCTTTTGTTGCAGAACAACAGCCTTAAAAAGAGCAAACAAATATATCATAAGACCCAGTCAATAAGTTGGGGTTTGTGGGGAAAAATCAAACTATAGTTCTATCAGATGGAGGTTCACCCAATCAAGAAGACAATAATAATCCTCAGTTGGCCGACATTTCATATTACTCTTTCCTACAACAATTTCTAGTGCAAGAACTCCAAAACTGTATACATCTGCTTTGTAGGTTAAGTATCCCCGTAATGCATATTCTGGTGCCATGTACCCTCTGAAGTACCAAAACCAAAATGAACAAATGAATATTGAAGATAATATAATTAGAAGGAACAACAAGACTACTACTCACATAGTTCCAGCAACTCTAGTGGTAATGTGAGTGTTTTCTTCTTCATCAAGTTTGGCCAAACCAAAATCTGAGATCTTTGGTGTAAGGTCAGCATCCAGGAGTACATTTGTAGCCTTGATGTCCCTATGAACCATTTTGAGCACCGAATCCTCGTGCAGGAATGTCAAGCCTTTTGCAATGCCAACACAAATTCTTTGTCTTGTAGGCCAATCACTTTCTAACTTAGAGTTATTGTGCTCTGAGATTTTATGTAAGAATTTTAATCAAGAAAGTTGTGAATGGAAAACTAAAGATGCCACAATTCCCAATTTGGGGTGTCCTATATAATTTGTAACATTTTGGTTTTTTGCAAATGTTCAACCTAATATGTCTCATTATCATCATTATGATTATTTTCATTGTCGGTTACAGTGGGTCATGTTGGATTACCTGCTTAATTAAACAGATTGATATTTTCATCCAAAACCAAAGCTGTTCAATTAATAGGATGTTAGATTTTCCATCTTATTTTTTTTCCCGATCCAAACAGTTAGATATACCAGTTGTACCTGTGTTGACCCATTTAGATTTGAAATTTAAAAACACAAAACCTTAGACTTAGACATTACTTAAATATATAACGAACCCAAGTAACTGTTCAAAGTTACTAAGGCTCAAGGGAGTGGACCGCAGTTTGGCCGCACTCAGTGCCACATAGGCAGGGGAACACCGCCCCCCTATGCGGTCTTGGGTGCGGTTTGGCCGCACCTCTCCTAAAATCTGCCACACTCCTTTCTCTCTCTCTCTCTATGTGTCTTTCTCTCTCTCTTCTCCTCTCTCTCGCCTCTCTCTTTCTCTACCATAGTTCCACACCGTAGGTGTGGTAAAGAACCACACTTTGTGTAGTATAAATGATGTGGTACCTATGTGGCTCCTACGTGTCAGAGGAGGGAGTGTGGTTCTTGTGACACCACTCCCTCCAGCCTAAGAAGTATAATTACAAGTTGATTATGCAAACAACATTCTAAATTCCTAAGACTTCAGGGCTTTCTTTTTGTACTTTTTAATTTATGATTTATTTATATATAAAACAAAATAAATAAATGCATATAAATATATGTAAACGGGTTGGCAGAGTGGTATCAAGTAAGTTTTAAATGTAACCCAACCTATCTAATTAAACGTGTTGAGCAGGTTGTAGATTTGCACAAAAGCGGTCTCTGGTCGGTTTCAAAACGGTCTGGTATCATGAGACCGGTCTCGGGTAGCCTCGATCGGTCCTTTTTAGATCAGGTCTCGTTCTAGACAGGTTCGGTCTCGGTCTTTTTTCGGGACCAGGTCCAAGACCGGTCTATTTTTTCATGCGTAACGGGTTGACCTGTTTAATTTGTAAACCAGAAAATAGATTGAGGGTGAAAATAACCTTATTGATTGTGATTATTTTTACAAGGAGAAAATGCCAGGGTATATAAATAGGCAGGATCCGTAGACAAAGAAAACCCTACGGGCCCATAGGCTAAAACTAGGCCAATGCTAATATGTACAATATTTACATCCAATATAATTTAAACGTGACGGAAATCTCAACCCAACCTGCTATTGGTGGGTTGGCTCTATTTTTGCTGGATTTTGTTTTGGTCCATTATTACTAATTAGTATTTAAGACATTTGATCAATGATCAAATTATTTTAATGTACAAAGTGGAATATAAACTTCAAAATTCTGACGGGGTGGAGGGAGTTGCTACTTAAGAAGTAGAAGAAAAGGAGAATACCAAAATAGAGCGTGCGCTAGAGAATTATTCTCCATGTACTCATAAACAAGCAGAAGGTGGTTGCCTTCAACACAACATCCATATAGCCTTACAACATTTTGGGTGTTGTATACCGGCTATCATGCCTATTTCATTCACAAATTCACGATTTCCTTGCTTTGATTTCGAAGAGAGTTTCTTCACAGCAATTGGAGTTCCATCTAATAGTGTACCCTGCAATCAAAAAAATAGATGTATACTTTAGTATGATTCATATTCTTTCATATTTTATCTTTTTACATCAGAAAAAGTTACCAGTGAAGTTTTGTAGATTTTTCACAATATGAATTGTCAAAAAGAAAATTTAATGCATTTACAATGTTACCATGTAAACCGATCCAAAACCACCCTCCCCAAGTTTATTTGAATCAGCAAAATTGTCGGTGGCAGCCTTGATTTGTCTATATGTAAATACACCAGTTTGCAAATCCAATCCTCTTAGGTCTACAGGGAAACAATATTTTACCAATGAAACAAACGTATTTCACAAACAAACAATTATATGGCACAATTTAAATTAAATAGTAATTAAACACCTTTTTCTCTTGAATTTTTGGTCCCCTATATAACCCCTCTTCCATGCGATGCCAAGAATTAGGAGACTTAGACACAAAACTGCAGCCACCACTCCAATGGCAACAAATGTATATTTTTTCCAATGAGGTATTTTCCCATGAGTTATTTTCCCATGACTTAGAGGCTTGAACTCTAACGGAAAAATATATTATCAAGTCACTTGAACATATTATCAATTGATGATCATCAGTATTATAGAAATGACAATTATACACATAATAAATGTCTGTGAAAAAAAAAAATATAAGTTAAAATATGTGGAGAATAAGCATACCTGCGACCATAGAAATGGCAGATATAAGAGGACCATAAGCCCCTCTCAATGGGACAGCTGTTGTACCCTTTCCAGCATATTGGAACCGGACTTCTAATGTTTTATTAGTAACAGGTATGCCTTTTAAGGTTATATTTACTTCCTTATCAACCCCACCTGCTGCAATCTTGATATCAAAATTCTTCAATTTGGTTACACCCTGCAAAAAGGAGAAAGCAAAAGTGAAATCCAACAAAATACAAGTCTCTTGCACAAAATGGGAAGTCTTCACAAACAGAATCGATACAAATATATCTAATTGATGTATGAAAATCGTCCACTTCTGAAAGTTCAAGAAAAAAAGAAAATTCAACCTGAACATAAACATCAAAAACACGTCTTCCAAGACTCTTGTAAGATTGGTTGTCTCTGAAAACTATCTCTGCAAAATGTAGAGTCACAGTATACTTTCCATTTGCTAAGCAACGGCCATAGTAAGTGAGAGAAAGCAGAGTGTGGCGAGCCCTTGTGTAAAGTTCATAGTCATTCATAGTGAGTATAGATGCATTATTTTCTATGTAATGTGAATCACTATTATCACCAGACCATATACTTCCTGTGTTACTAAATCCCCAACGATCACTTGAAGGAAAAAAAATTTGCAGGTCCACCTAGATATTCATCTGCTTCATAAGTCTTGTTTCCAATGGTAACTCCTGGCCCACCACAATTGATATAAACTGAATAGTAGTCTGGAGAAACATAAAACAGATCAGCTTTGCTATACTTTTATAAGAAAACCCAACGTTACTTGAAAGCATGTTCATCACCCTCTAAGCATTGATGGCTGCTATGGCACTTCCCAAGGTCACTGCAAGAAATTAAACATGAACACTTGGCGCCTCTCTTATTAAATAGAATTTTCATTCATTTGATGCATAGTAGTAGGGTATAAGCTTACGAGTTATTCCCACTTGAGTAGCTTCTGAATAAGTTCCTAATAAATGAAAGAAACTATAACTTCAATTTGTATGTGCATATGAAAAGATCATTTGAGTTCTGAAAACTTACAGTGATTCACCACAATCTTGTGGCACAGTATCTTTACTAAAGTTGTTGTAGGAAAGATCTACACTGCATTACAGTACATGACCTATCAGTGCCTATGAGTTATTACAAACGCGTCTTCTAAGAAAATTTAATATGAAAACGAGGGTCGAAAAAACATACAGATCTTTATCTGCGATCCATTTAGGAAGACTGCCTTCCAGGGAGTTACCAGTCAGATATCTAGTCAAATCAGATGCCGAGTCATTTCAACAATTCAAAGATACTTAAGAGCAGAATACTATGGCAAATATAGATGATTCGGTGATCAATAATATAATAGTTTTGAAGAAAATAATACTGGGAAAAAGTAAATGCATATCTTTCTTACATTTTTTTAACATGCTTTTCACTTAGATCTGGTATATCACCATTCAGATTGTTGAAACTGAGATCTCTGTGTAAGTATGTGAATATATATGGAAGGAATACTTCAGGAAATTTAAACAGAGACTAAAGAAGATCATAATGTACAAAGACATAAGATACAACACATATGGTCTAAACAGGGAGGACTTTTACAGATGGCTCAAATTGGACATTTGCGATATATAACCTGGAATAGTCCCAATTATATTGCAGCTTCTCAACATCCTGCAACATCCACCAAAGTTTATGAAGGTACCGGTTTTGAAATTAAAGACTTGTTAATAGATTTCTAAATCCTATCACTTACAACTTAGTCATGTTTGCCATCCTACTCAGATTTGGAAAATGTGAGCCCTCTCCACTTAAATCAGAAATTCGTCTGCACATAGATTACATAAAGGCATGTTGATTAATTAGTACTTATTGCAGGAATAGAAAGATTTGAATATCCTGATGGAGGGAGTACCTGTTTAACTTACAGTTCTGTTATATTTCTCAAGAAGGAAAGACTTTCGGGTATTTGTCCTTCTAGACCACTACCTTGGATCTCTCTGAGGATAATAGATAGAAATCATGACAGGAAGCAAAAAAAAATGATTAAATAACCAATCTAATTATTATGGGGGTCCATATTGTTGGTGATTTTAGTGTAACCAGATATTTTGTGTAATTGGAACTAATATATGAGCTAAGGGGCTTATAATTTGTATTCTATATTATATGTTTGGTGAGTGCGGAGTGCACACATATATAAGATCGAATGATACGTCGGTACGATAGAATGACGGGGGTTAAGGGGGCCGCGCCCCCCTTCCAGGGTCCTAGGGGCAACGCCCCTAGCGGTATCCAATGGGTAGAGCCCCTCGCAGTGGTAAATCCGAATTCTAGTGTGTAATTACGGTGAGATTAACAAATCTCATCATTTTTGGAAACCATTGATTATTCCTTTAATTCGTGATTTATTTAACTAATTTAGAAGACGGTAACCCAAATCTATCAAGTATAAATATGACTCCTCCATAGAGCCATAGGAGACCCTTCTCAGCTCTCTCTCTTCTATAACAAACCCATAATTTGTCTGACAGTTTGGCTTGTGGTTTTGTGCCTAGATTCACAAATGTCCTTTTGGATTATCCTTAGACTGGATTTCATGTAACCTGAGCATAAGGTGGAAATATCAGTTCGGAAAGCGACCTTACGCGATTAGTAGATGATGACCATTGAGAAAAGAAAGACGGTGGACTTTAAGCTATTGAACAAGCACGATGAATATATAATTTCATGCCATGTGAATTTTTTTTGGCATAATGTTGAATAGTTGTGCTCAAGCATCCAACTATAGCCCCCGTGTTAGTCTTAAGTGTTTACTTTTATGTTCTTATTAATGGTTAGTTTATTTCAATTAAGTGGTTCATGTTCACGTGTAATAGCAGTTGCTTGCTTTTAGCACTTCACAATTTTATCTTTATAAAAGCTTTGTATTCTTCTCACCGTGATAGAATTTGGAGTAATAGTACGCTCTTTGTTTGTACTCTGTTATTTATCGTTAAAACTTTCTTTTACAACAAATTTGTATCTGACCCATTTTTTCCCAACCACTGTTTCCAGCCATGATAAGCAATGGCATGAGTTCTTCAATTCAACCCTTAAAAGTTTAGTGTGCATGTATGTGCTTGTGGGGGGGGGGGGGGGGGGGGGGAGGGGTAGATAGCATCTATGGAGCCTCAAAATGAAGACAATGTTGAAAAGTTCCAAGAGCTATGAGATTTGGTGGAAAAGGGTATGTAGAATTGGCAGAACAAGACAACAACTATGATAAGTTTTTCTCGTATACTGCAGCAACAACAACCTCAAACCTGGTAGGCGATTCTGAAACAAGAATTTCTTGGTGATCAAAAGGTAATAAATGTATAACTTGTTGTTTCAGCATAATCAATGCAGAAAACATAAAAAAAAAACCCAACTAACCTTGCCTGTTGTGATCAGATTCTTGTTCTTGCTCTTAGGCCCAAATACAAACAATGACAATAACCAAGGAATGAAAGTAAATAGAGAATAACACAAGATTTACGTGGTTCAGCAAACTTGCCTACACCCACAAGAGAAGATAAAGCCTTTTGTATTAGGTTCCTCATTTTTCCCTCTACAATTTATGTGATACTATATTTTTCCATGCCTCTCTTCACTGAGTATCACATAACAAGATATATGGGCCATATTACTTAGGCCAAGAGCTCGGATGTTAAATAAATAACTGGGCTACCAACTTACAATTCTCCACCTTGAACATCATTTGATAGACCTTAAATTTTAGACGATTCACCAAAAAAAATGCACACCTTGATATGTAGAACTCAATCCGGCTGCACCATTTGACCATGGTTTCTTATGTACCCTCACTTGGGATCAAGCCATCGTAGTTCATCTCACCGGGTGATAACTCCACCTCACCCTGACACCGTCCCACAAGACCATTTCCCTCAAAGGCAATCAACACCGATTGATATTAAGCAAGTTCAAGCAATGCTTAAACTTGCCATTTGGTACCACCTTGGTTAACATGTATATTGGGTTCTAATCTATATGCACCTTCATAAGAAAAATATCACCATCCTCTATGACATCCCACACAAAATGATATCTGACATTTATATGTTTGGTACGAGCATGATAAACTTGATTCTTAGCTAAGTGAATTGTGCTTTGACTATCTCACCACAAGTCTACACAATCTTTTGCTCAATCCCCAAATCATATAAGAAACCCCACAACCATAATGCTTCCTTAACTCCCTCTGTTATAGTCATGTACTCGGACTTTGTAGTAGAAAGTGCTAATGTTTCTTGTAACATCGATCTCCAACTAACTAGACATCGTAGGCTAGACTGACATCTATCAACTAACTAGACATCTATCCAGATCACCAACATGATTTGAATCCACAAATTTAGTAATTCGACATGTATCTCCACCAAAGCATAAACCCATATCAATGGTTCCTTTCAAATACATCATGACCCATTTTATAGCTTCCTAATATGCCTTCTTCGGGTTCTCCATGAACCTGCTGACCACACTGACCACCTGTGAAATATTTGGATGTCTACACACCATGACATACATCAAACTGCCAACTGCACTAGCATAAGGCACACTCTTAATGTATAGGGAACTTGTCTACTAGAGATCCTAAAATATGGAGCTAATGGAGTCACCACTGACTTGGTATCTTGCATCCCGAACCTCGCAATAACCCGCTCTATATAGACTTTCTGGCTCAAGAACAGTCGATGGTTCAACCTCTCTTTTCTAATCTCCATACCCAATATTTTCTTGGAAATTCCCATGTCCTTCATCTCAAACTCTTTACCAAGTTGAGATTTCAACCTATCTATTTCCACCTTGCTCTTTGAAGCAATAAGCATGTCATCCATATACAAAAGAATATAGATATAATCACCTCCACAAAGTTTCAACATGCAAACATAACAGTCATACCGACTTTTTGAAAATCCATGCTTCAACATGAAGGAGTCAAATTGCTTGTACCACTACCGAGCAGACTGCTTCAATCCATATAGTGATTTCCTCAAGCGGTATACTTGACCTTCTTTATCCACAACCTTGTATCCATCAGGTTGATGCATATAGATTTCCTCATCTAATTCTTCATGCAAGAAAACATTTTTACACCGAGTTGGTCCAACTATAAATCACCATGACCAACAATACTCAACAACACCCAAATGAAATTGTGTTTCACTACGGGAGAAAATATCTCATTATAGTCAACCCCCTCTCTTTGTACAAACCACTTATCCACTACCCTTTCCTTGTACCTTGTACCACCGATTTCAGAAGGATCCTCTATTTTCTTGTACACCCACTTACAACCAATAACTTTCTTCCCTACATGCAATGGGACCACTTCCCAAGTTTAGTTCTTCCGAAGAGACTCCATTAGCTAGCCACCTCGTACTATTGTCATTCCAAATAGCTTCCTTGAAGGAGACCAAATCATCTTCCTACACCGAGAATGCGTACTCAACCAAATTTTCTTGTCCGTAATGCTTCAAAAGTTGATTAAACCCCAACTTTTGAACTTTCTTATATGCTCGCATCGTCCTAGTAGAGACCGAACTGCCGTCGAGCTCTTGTTCCTCTGGTTTGTGTACATTTTCTAGTTGAACCGTCTCATGTTCAATATCATCGTGCATACCACCATGATCTTCCTCGTGAATAAAACTAGAACCTTGTTGGTTTTTAGGTTCTATATCAACTACTTGAGACTTGACCGTCTTAATGTCATCACCATTTGGCACCATAACTTTCGAAGAAGCTACATTTAAGTTCACATAAAGTAACATATTTGCTAATTATAAACTTCGAATCTTCCAAACACCAAAGGCAATAGCCTTTACACCTGATGCATATCCCATGAAAATTGTTTTTTTTTGTCTCTTGCTTCAAGTTTTTCCTCACTAACATGATAGTAGGCAGTACGCCCAAAGATTCTGAGTTAACACATATTCCAAATATTAAACATTTAATCCACATATAAACTTTTAACATATATTTAATACTTTTAATAAATACTTGTATTAAAATCATGTTCATGAAAGTAACTATGCACTCACCTGATTGAGGTGGAAGATCCATGGTTAGGCCAACTCATTGTCTGACACTTCATCTATCTTTTAAACAACCTAAATACGAATATTACTATGTCTCAGTGTTTGTTCATATTTAGAATGTTATATTAACTATTTCTAGATTCCCCAATAATCCCAATGAATACTTAAGTTCTATCAAATAAGGAATAACTAGGTAAGATTATATTGGATGTAGGATCCGTTTGGTATATAAAGTATACTGTTTGGAAAATCCACTTTAAACATCCCATTAGATCTAGCTTAGGCATCACTCCCCTAAGTAAATAAATCAATAGTATGGCTGGAATCATTGATACACCTTATTTATAGGTTCATAATAGCGACTATGAATATAAATATAAGTTACACTTAAAGCATAGTAAGCGCAACTTAACTCCAACTCCGAATACTCTTTTTCTCTGTGCTCTCTGATTCTTTAGAGCCTCTAAAAAGTAAAATTCTCCAGAACCCCGAAAAACCTCAGAAAAATCGTAACTACAGAGAAAGGTTAAGAAAAGATTGAGTGAAGAAAGAAGCAGGTTTGAAACTCTATTTATAGGCTGCCAGATTGGGAGGCGCACCGTGCCCCTAACATAGGCGTTTCGTGCCCTTGTCTAGGTGGCAAGCCTTCCTCTCAGATCATGACATATGGCGCCATCTTGGTCGCATTTCGCAGGTAAATTTCAAAACTACAAAAATCATATCTTTCGCATATGAGCTCCATTTTCGATGTTCTTTATATCCCTAATTTCGTACTGATAAGTAGTACAACTTTCATTTAGACTCCGTTGGTCAATTCTCATTTTATTTTTAATAGAGTCTATGAAGATTACACTGTAAAAAACTGTGCAAAAATTCATAACTTCTTCATACAAACTCTGTTCTCGACGTTCTCTATATCGGCGACTTCGTATTTACGAGAACTACGACTTTCGTTTAGATTGTTATAGCTAACAATCATTCGATTTTCATTTCTATTTCTATGTCGCACACTGCTGTATTGTGTCGCATCAAAACTTCTAAAAATCATAAATTCTTCATACGAAGTTAGATTTAGGCTTTCTTTATATGAACACTTTCGTATTTATGATTACTATGACTTTAATTTAGATCACTTAGACTAATAAGCAACCTATCTTCATATCATATTTTATGTCACACTTTGCCGTATAGGGCTGAACACGAAATTAGACTTCGTATAAAGAACCCATAACACATCGTGGTGGTATACCATCCTGGGATACTTGATGATAATATTTAAAAGATAAGATGCTCTCATTTACCCATAGGTACAAGTAAATGTTTCAAGTTTCCTCACGATATCTGATTTCATTTTCTCACTTGCCAACCAAAACATCCATTTTATTATCTACATGGCAAAACCTGAAGCTAATAATTCTCTCTTACCTTCTTGTGATGCCACTCTTCTGGATCTTGACGTCAAATCGAAGTCAATTTGCCTTTTGCACTTTTTGCCTTAATGGTTGGTTCTCCCCCACTTGGGTTCGAACCCTCACCACTTGCTACTCACAACTAATCAAAGCCTAACTGGCTTTGCATATGTGATTTGTAGCTCATTTTCTTCTTGGAAGAAACTCCTAATTGTCATATACATGATTTAACATCCTCAACGTAGTATCATTGTTTGTTCTCATGAGTGATCTTCTCGTATAACACGACCATAGATCGATCAAGATCTTGGCAACCACGAAGTTGTCCACCAATGCACATGCATTCAAAATGGTATAATAAGGTATTACCAACGTAATGGAAATCACTAGCAACAACAACGGTTACGTATTAATACAATTCCTCCCTCTTCTCTGGGATAGTTAACCTTGTGGTGCTATAATTAACCCTCTGTAATGATCGTTTCGATCATATCTGAATCACTAGGTGCGAACGCACACAAGACACTTTCAACTTCACATATTAGCTACAAAGACTGTAGCACTTCTATCCTTCTGAGTGAAAATCAAATAAGTTTGAACTTATTTGTTGAAGGTGGAACTTGAACTTCACCTATTCTTTTATCCACATACGAACCTTCAATCCCAACTCTCGAGTCATAAACTTGAATTTTATTGGAGACTCCTGCTTCTTCCTAAATTAGGTCGTAAACTCAACACACGATAAGGTGTTTACTTTGGCTATTGTTAAAGACCAAATGGTCACGCTCTAATGACCTTCTACAGCACGACATATACATAACAAACTAGACTCTTGTCTCTACAAGTCAAATACTAACATGGAAAACACCTTCTATCTTGTGTTAACAATCCAATATTTCCTCCTTTGAACATGGGATGACGACCTACAACCACATCTTAATAGGTAGCATCACTAGTTACCGGCTATTCAGCTCTAACGAAGGCTGCAATACTTTTATCGATCACCTCGATCATCTCCTTTTTCAATTTCCCGACTAAAGTCAGTCTCTACCCAAGACATGGTTCTCTGAACCAATCAACTCACTTCGCATATTTATATTAATCAGACTCGACTCTTTATAGCCACTTGGGCATGAATCCAAAATCATTTTCCTAGTCATCACCATAATGCAGGTAATGACAGAAACATACAAAACAAACTCAACTACTAGTGCCTTAGTAACCTTGCAACTCTTCCTAATCCAAGTACGAATCCTGTACTACTTAGTACAGAGCTATACTACCTTTCACACCTGTGCATACTCGTCCCAAGAATTTCCTCGCAGTTCCAAACTCACTGCACATGATAACCAATTTAATATATAATTTCGTGTCCAAATGGGCACTTACAACAATTTCGATAGACTCCACTAGGATTTTTACGTCTCTTCTAGGCGCTCTAATAATAACCACATGCTTTACTAAGTACATATTAAAGTTTCCTATACTTTTCTTCCAGGATTCTTCTCATGTATTTTACAAATGTTAGGTAATCTTGATGGGTTAAGTTGGTCTTTGGTTCACTGGTTCAAAGAACACGTTTTATTCAGGGGTGTTTTAGTCTTTTGTTTAAAGTATGAATAAGTAAATGGTGATTGACTGAGTTCAGTGGAGGTGAAAGTTGGTGTACTTGGTCATGGAAGTATCCTATTCTCTAGGGGTACTAGTGGATAGTTTTTTTTAGATTGATCTTGTTTATTTCTATTGTTTTTTTAGGCTATATATAGCCCTTAGCCTTTTTGAATAAGTGTGCAGCTTTTTGAGTCGTAAATATATTCATCTCCAATTTTTCATTCTGCATATTCATGTATTACAAACAAACTATGAGTGTGTGTGCTGTTTATGAGTAATATCCATCAACAAAATCCATTTTGCAAAAGGGGTGATTATTTTGTGATAGTTTCCCAGAATGTGATCATTTTGTGATACAACTCCAGTTTTGTTATTTTAGTCATGAGTATATCTTGTTTTAATTATGGAAGACACCAGGAAGATTTTCTTTAGTTGGAGATATAAATAGCAATACTGAATCAAAAACTTACAATTTCTGAAGTTTTGTGCAGTTTCCAAGGTTTGGAATTTTCCCACTGAAGTTGTTGCTACTTATCCGGCTGCACAAAGGTGAGAAGTAGTGATGACTAACTTAGAAAAAGTCCACAAAATGGGAAAGATAAATTTCTAGGTAGTGTAAAACATGAAACTTTTTATAATATTTTTTTGGAAAGGGTGCAGCGTGCATACAGTTCTTTCAAATTGGTGAGAAGATTAAGCTCCTCTGGCAATTTACCAGTGAGATTATTCGCACTCAAGACCCTACAAATTTAGAATAAACATGTATCAGTAACATTGCCGCTACAAACGGAAAGGGTTGTAGTAATGCTACATTAGGAAGAAGGCCTTACAGAACTGATAAATTTGTTAGTTTTCCAAGCTCGGCAGGAATATTTCCGAAGAACATATTGTTCTCTAGAATCCTGGTATTCATTTATCCATTAAACAGAAATCAACATGAAGAATGTAATAACATTATTTAACCATCACCATCTGAGAGAGAGAGAGAGACTATACACAGTTATAAGAGAGGTTATCTCCCCCAAAGATGTTGGAATGCGTCCTGACAAGCGATTAGCCGTAACAGCTCTATATCACAGTCAGTTTTAAAATTTAGATATAAATCAACTTAGAGAAAATTGAGATTCAGAAGTAGCTCACAAGAAGGCCAGATTTGTTGACGCCCATTGAGTAGGTATGGTGCCATTTAGATAATTATATGATAAATCACTGCAACAAGCAACCCATGCATATCGTCATGAATCATGATAGATTAAAGAATATATGGCAACATTTTAAACATAAGAATTTGTGTTACATCTTCTTGATTTTAGGTAACTTTGCTAGAGACGGAGGAAGAACTCCTGCAAGATCCTGCCCCTTGAGAACTCTGTTCAAAAGGAAAAGTAGGACCTCTAATTTATGTTTACACAAATTTCACACTGAGAGGAAATTATGTTTAAGCATCTAAGAATATTAGTTGAATTTTTTAAACAGATTAGATATAGTGATATGTACACTGATATATGCAACTATAATTTCGTTTATTAAAGAAGCAAAAAGGCATATGGAGTAGATGTAATTATAAAACAAAGCTACATACATCTCAGCAACGTGACAAACACCACCAGGATACGAACAATCACACAGAACACTGTTTTTAAACTGAGAACCTGTGTCTGTCACATTTGTGTTCCAGCTGGGATCACCATCACAAGGGTTCAGGGAAAAATTCCAGTTCTTTTTTCCCAATTCTTTAGCTATTTCACGAAGAGCATTCACTGCAAGATAACATAAAATACTTGTGGATATAAAAACAGCAACAAATGTGCATAGTTTTTAGGTGTTATGAGTTCTGCAGGGAGAAAATTTGTGGAGTCTATACGTATTTGTTGCTTATGGATTGTCCTTTTTAGAATAATTAGAATATAACTCAAGTTTCACATCCTATCTAATTGAGTTTTTATGCACACATAAACATGGATAAAGTCACTTGGTATCTTGACAGAAAGATAAATAGGGCATAAAAACTTGCCTTCACCCGGAGCAACACTCTTTATTGCTTGTGCCTGAATACCAGTACTTACTAAAAAGAAAAGAAGTGTACACAAGAGGGGAGTGAGAATAAATGAAAGTCTTGAGAACATCATTAACATCTAATTAAACTGATACAATCACCAGCAATTCTTGTAATGTCTAGAACTATTTAAACACAATTCAAGTCAACTTTGCCGCCTACGGTGGTCACTATGACATAAATCAAACACGTCATCTGCAACTTGCATGCATTTAAAAGGTAATTACAATCAGTTCCCTACCCGTAATAATGGAATTGAAAGCTGACATATAATCGTTGTCACTGTGTTGCACAGCATAAGTTCTCCAAAATTCAAAGAGTCGGTCGTCTTACCAGTACACCATAAATACACGAAGAAAAATTTGAGATGATAAGGTGTAGATGGGTAATTGTTTTTCCATCCCTCACGCATGGCCGAATGGAATTAGGGGCTGGTTATTATTTGGATAAAACCGAATTGTCAATTTGGGTCAGACTATTAAGAAAATCCAATTATTATTTTCGATTTTTGATTGATTTTGGTTTATAAATTAAAACGAAAAATCCAAAAAAGACAAATAAGAATTTATTATTATTATTTTTATTATATATCTTTAATTATATATAAATTTACTAAGTTATTTTTTAATAGATTAAAAATTTCCATCTATTCTAATATTTTAATATGTACTTTTTATCAGAAGTTTTTTGTCTATAAATTAGCAAACTATAATATATTTTTCTTCGTAGTTATTTTGTAAATTTTAATTCACAACTAATTAAATAATTTTATTTAGTTTCTGTTATAAAGTGGGTTAATATTAAAATTATATATTTATTATAATGTATTGATTTTTGAAAACCGAATTATAAAAATCAATCCATCCAACTTATTATTTAATTGGATTGGATTAGATTTGAATTTAGTTTAGACTATTTGGATCACGTTTTAAAAATCGAAATCAATTTGAATTCACTTGATCAGATCGAATCGAACCGATTCTTCCAAATGAACAACCCTAAATGGAATGATAAAATAAGGTAATCCCTAGTTGATAGGATTAAACTAAAATTTTTTGGATGTCTATATTGAAATAAAAACAATTTTTTAAAAATATGTTTCAATGAACTTTATAGAGTTCGATACATCAGAAGAAGTAAATTATAAAGTTGTATAATAAGTAGAATGACAATGTATAATAAGTAGAATGACAATGTGACAATTCGTTAAACTATATAAAATTAATTTTAATATGGATGCCTTAATTAGGGTTAAAAAAAACAACTCGAAATTTACAATTTAATTTAGTTTCGGAGAGTATATATAAACCATTTTCATTAATTTGCTTTTCACATCTTCATGTAATCATTTTTTATTATTATTCTAATTTATATTTAGTTATTAACTTCTAGGGAAAATGACAAGAATAACTCAGATTGAAAAGACTTTTCAAAAGTTAATCCAAAATTAAGAAAATTCCATATATACCGACTAATTTGCACTACACAGTGAGCATTATGAAATACCTAAAAATTATCTTAAAAAATCGTACTACGAAATGTTTCTAACTATGGGGAAAAAATTATACTAAGAATTCACTACTGTGAAATTGTTCTTCATACTTCAAAGTTGATTAAGTAGTATATGGTGAAGAGCTGTGAGCCTCAAATAAATATGATTTAAGATAAATAATTTATTTGTTGGTGATTTTAATGTCACCGGTTCATTTTAGTTTAATAAAAATTTACAAATTACCAATAAAGTTCAATTTTTGATTTTATTATGGAAAACATTTTGTCGGATAATATTTCTTGATAATTACTTTGAAACCGTCATCCCTTATTTATGGAATAAAATTAGCATTTAATGCTCATTGATTTTATTTTTGGTAATAATAAGTGTAACATTCATAAAATTCATAAAAAATTAAACTTTTCAAACCAATCCCAAAATCATAATTGTTTACATTTTGTTTTCAAAATATGGTTAAAGAGTATTCCCAAAATCACAAAACACAACATGAGGAGGTGCACGATCAAGCCTTCGTCTTCCCACGATCATCTGAAGTACGTGAAACACAACCCAAAAGTGTAAGCCCAAAGCTTAGTGAGTTCCTCCAAAGTACCAACACACAACATATAGCACATAATAATAACAACATGTAATGGGTCCACAGCTAACAGACTGGATTACCCCTGAGCCCACAGCATAAGTCTAGCTTGCCTTCGGCCCACAACTTATGTCTGGCTTGCTCCCTGACTGGTTCAGTCCCTGGACTGAATACCACTAAGCCCTCAGTACGAGTCTGGCATGCCCTTCCCGACCCTCAACTCGTATCTGGAATGCTCATGATTCCTCAATATGAGTCTGGCATGCCCTCCCCGACCCTCAGCTCTTATCTGGTTTGCTCCAGGGTTTGTTGGTTACCGCACAAAGCAGTACAACCACTACAAAAAAATTTACATTCAGTGGCACAAGCTTTTAGTGGCATATTTTTGTTTGTGCCACTAGATTATGGTTTTAGTGGCACATAATTTTATGTGCCACTACATTTTTAGATTTTCTTTTGGCGCCTCTAGTTCCCCCCCAATAATTCCCATGAAAATTAAAATCATTACACTTTAACCTTTCACATCCTAGATACATTTGCCCTAAGTGTTACACTTTAGCCCTTTCCCCTTCCTTAGAAACTCGTGGCCCAAAGAAGTCGACACAACCTCTCATCGGCAATGGTCACCATCGGACGTTTGACCACCATTGAAGAGTGAAGATGCAATCCAAAATTGAATCGGCACATGCTTCCTGACTGTGATGCAACTTCACTATGGAACTGGATTTGACACAGTCTTCCCGACAATGTCGACGCAACCCTACATCATATCGGTATACAACTCACGACAATTGTAAATTTACAAATTGCTTATCTCACTTGGGGAAAAATGAATCACATAAAGGTATTCTCTTTCTTTTCATTGATTAATTCATTCCCTTTTCAAAATTAAAACTTTTGTAGCAATACAACAACATTATCTCTTTCTTATTGTCCAGTAATACATTTGATCATCTCGTTTAGAGGAGAAAGCAGATAGTAACCTAGTTCTAGTGATGCCATATGAACGTTGAACAATCAGTTTCAGATGGTGCATATATTATCGACTCTCCTTTTTTATTTTTTCAAACATATAAGAAAACTTTCCATCAAGTTGAAGATTGTTATCAGGCTTGAATGTTAGTAAAATGTTTTAAGTACAGTTGCTCTGTTAAGCACACTTGACTATATACTACATCTTTAATTGTATTGACTAAAGTTTATCTTAATATTGTAGACATGGGTGGATCCAATGCTTTAGGGTGGGGTCTCCTCTTGAAATTGACAAAGGAGAAAGCAACTGACCAACTACTTGTCTCCACTCTCAGCCTTAAACCTCTCTATCTTAGTTTTGAACTCTCTTTACCTTTTTTCACTTGCATCCTCTGCTCATCTTAAGTATCAAGTATGTTTAACCTAATTTTTATTCTAATTTTAAAATAATTGGGTCATATCCTTTGTGATGCATTCTGTTTATATTTGTGATGATAAAAGGGGTTGAAGTTATAGTTATGTCATTATATTAGGTGTTCCAATTTTGATATTCAATTAAGTTTCTTATTGTTTTATGGTTTTTCATTTGGGCATCTTGAATGCTATATTTCTTTATTAAGTCAATTGTTTAAGTAGCCACATGCTTTAACTTTAAATTTTCTTCCAATTTCAATAGCTAGGGATATGATGAGTTATTTGTATTTGAATTGTTTTTCTTTGTCTTTGGATTTCATTGTTTAGGATGGACTTTGTTGTTCTTGTTTGTTTAGTTGGTTTTTTTAAGTTCATGATTTTGTCAACTATTTAAGTTCTAAAGTTTAAAATGACTAGTTTTTGTGACTTCATTAAAACTGTGAATTTGGCTGGATGTAGAAAGATTCTTAAAAGAAAATATCATTCTGACTCGGTTTGATTATTTTTACAATACCAGATCAAAAGCATGCCCAACCAAAAGAGCTTCTTGATTCACCTATGAATGTAGGTTTATTGAACTTTAGCAAATGCTTGTCAAGGCTTTGACTAATTATTTTGATGCCAAGTTGCTTCTAGAAGTCAATGATTTTTCACTTAAGGTGATCCTGTCAACTTAAAAACTCACAATATTCAAATTTACTTGTAACATCCATAAAATCCGAGCCAATTTAAAACTTTTTAAATCATTTAAAACCATTATATTATTACAACTTGTTACCAGAAATCATAATCATCAATCGAGGAAGTGTACGGTCACGCCTTCGCCTTTCCGCGGTCATCCGCTGAACCTGAAACAATACACTGAAACTGTAAACTCGAAGGCTTAGTGAGTTACCCCCAAAATACCCGTACACACCATAATACACATACAATAAAAAACAACATACTATGGGTCCAATTATCCATCGAGATGGAATACCCCAGGCCCTTAACCATTTGGTTGGAATGCCAACATACCGATACACTTCACATAACACATATACAACTAACAGCATGTACTGGATCCAAAGCTTTACAGACTGGATTACCCCTGGCCCATAGTGTGAGTCTGGATTGCCTTCCGGGCCCACAACTCACATCTGGATTGCCATCGAGCCCACAGTACAAGTCTCCCTCAGCTCGTATCTGGAATGCTCCCGGGTTTGTTGGTTACCGCACGTAGCAGTTTCACCTCAACCCATCCCACAAAATATGTCGACATATAACAGAACTAATGCACATACATATAATCACATAATACTACGGGTAGTCCCACAAATCCACCTAACTGGCATAACTACTAGCATGCAGACAGTCAGACCAACTATAGGTCACTAAGCATAACTACATCCGATCTACCAGGATACCGATCTAACAGATCATACTAGCATATAACCATCCTATCTACCAGGATACCGAACTAACATATCACAATAGTAATAATCCCAATAACAAAACAAAGGACCGGCCTTGGTGACTTTGACCCTTGAGTACAGTGACGATAACTCACCTCGCAACTGACGCGCTGAAGTGATAAGCTCCACTCTCGGATCACTGTCACAAACTCCACCACCTATAT